CTGCTCCCTCACCTTCTTGGTGGCCTGGTTGAGCCTCTGCAGCCAGTGAGACAGGAGGTGGCTGCGGGGCCTGGGGGCTGCTGTGGGCCCAGCTGGGACCTGGGGGGAGAGAGGGCGCTGTGAGCTGGGACTGCACACAGGGAAGGGTGGCGTTCAGAGCCCATGAGGGGCCCTGGGACCCGGGCACTCACACAGGCCCGCAGCTGGGCGTGGATATGCGCCAGTGTGCGGAGGGGCCGCTCCAGGACGTCCTCCAGGGCCGGGTCTGTCACGGAGCCCAGGACCTCCAGTGTCAGGGCGAGCTCAGCCTGCAGGGCCACGGGGCGCTCCCACACCTGGAGCGGACATGGGCACAGGTGAGGGATCCTCGGGACAGGGAGCAGAGGAGGGGACAGGAGAGGAGGACAGAGCAGACCGGGGGAAAGGGACAGCTCACGAGACAAGGAGAGCGGGGACCTGGGAGAGGGACCCGAGCTGTGGTCAGGGAGAGGAAGAGGGGTGGAGGCTGGGGGGGCAGGACAGGAGGAGCAGGTGAGGGGAACAGGTGAGGGCTGCTGTGTGGGCCGATCCTCTCTCACCTGCAGCCGCTGCAGGTCCCAGGCCCTGGGGAAGAGGCGGGAGTTGCACCTGGAGTCCTTCAGCAGGAGCTGCTCTTCCTACACAGCAAGGGCACAGGTTAGCTCCCCGGGAGGGGTGGAGCCAGGGCAGTGAGCTGGGAGAGTGGTTCCTGCAGGGAGGTGGTGGGTGCCATCCTGGGGCGGGGGCAGAGGCACCTCCCCTGCAGGAAGCACAGGTAGCCGGGGGCAGTAAGAGCAGGACAAGGGGCACAGCGGCCAGTGGGGAGGGAAGCCCGCTTCAGGAGGTGGATTCTAGCCCAGGGCAGGGAGGCTGAGGTCTGCTCCCCGCCCACTTGGGGTGGTGACACAGGGAGAGCTGGAGTGCAGCCCACAGAGGGGAGCAGGGGAGACTCACAAAGGCATCCTTGGCTGTCTTGAAGGCCTGCATCTCTACTGGGGACAGAGACTTGAACTGGGCCACGTGGCAGTGCCTGGCATCTGAGGAGACACTGAGGGGCCTGGGGACAGGAACTGCCCCTGTCCTGGTCAGCACCATGCCCAGCAGCAGCAGCAGTAGCACCAGCTTACAACCTCCAGCGGGGTCTGTGTCACAGAGGGACAGCGAGAAGGTGAGGTCGGGAGCCCAGGGCTGCAGGGCCGAGGGGAGGGGACCTCAGGGACCAGGCTGTGCTTCTCACCTGGCCTCATCCTGGCCTCGCTTCTCTGTCGCTGCTGGAGACCAAATGTGCACTTGAGGCTGTCAGCTCTGTGCTCTGCCTCAGTTGGCCTTGGAGCCTTGGGCCGCAGAGTCCCGTGTGGGGCTCGGCCTGCTGCTCTGTGACAAGGTGTCCCTCGGCGTGCAGCTGTGTCCACGATGCCCCTGCTGCCTCAGTCCCGCGGTGGAGCTTTTATCCTGGACTGAGGGACAGTCCCAGGTGATGTGTGAAAAGTGCAGACTGGGAATGAGCCTTACGTCGCCACTAGGGGAGCCCCAGCCTGGGAAACCCAGAGGGGGCGGGGCTCCAGTCGGGAGAGCAGGCAAAGGAAAGGGAAAGAGCGCGGACTCGGGGCTGCGGGACTGCAGGAGAGTTCTCAAAGGAATGCTGGGAGCGTGGGTATCTGCTCTGTCCGGGGTGGGACCTAGTGTGCTGGGGGGCAGGAGGCCTAGAAGTCAGAGAGGAGCAAGGGACTGTCCCTGTGCAGAACTCCCAAAGCAGGTAGCTGCCTGGGCCCTGAAGCTCCGGTGTGGGGCAGGGAGGGGTCCTGGAAAGGGGGCCACGATGTGGGAACGGTCAAAGTAGAAGCCCCAAGACGGAGAGGGTCACTGCCCTTCCCTCACCCCTTGCTGCTTTGCTGTTCAGGCTGAGAGGGACCCAGGAGTAGGAGGCTCTGCAGAGGGACAGAAGTGAGG